TATTACTGTTTCAATTTTTTGTATGCTTGAAATTTTATCTCAACAAACATGGAGGCAAAGTAACAAGCAAGCTATTCCTCCCTCTCTGCCCTAAGTCGAAATTTCTTTCGCTTGCATTTAGTAATAAAAATGAATTTGAAAATTCTTGTGCTAATGCATTTGGGCAAGTTACTAGGGACTATGAATGGCTCTGACACCCTCTCTAACAGATTCTGGGAACAGTATTGGTACTGAGGGAAAGGCATAGCCCTCTTACTTGGGTATCAGTTTCACTGTCCTTTGAAACCTTATGATTCTCACACCAAGGATTCTATCAGCACATATTAAATGCTGGTATTCACTGATTTACCATTTTTTATGAAGTAGAATCTTTTATATTCTTTTAGTAGGACTCCAGTAGAGAAACATAGGAAAACAAACATCACATCCAGCATGATTGCCATTCATCTTTTTCAAGGGTTCAGCTCCATCTCTTAGATGTTCAGTTTTGAAGGGGTTCAGTTTTGAAGGGTCAGTTAGTACAGGGAAGGGCTAACAACCTCCCAGATTTCTAGGAACTATGTTTTCCTACGCACTGCAATGGCCACCTGCCTCACATGCATAACCTGTACTTAACCCAAGCACCCCTGTCCAGGGAGCTGATTCATGGAGGTCAACTCACCAAATTCAAGAAAAACAATAATGGATTCTGCTCCCAAGTTCATGTAACTGAGGGTCTTCAACCGGCAATAACAATAGCTTTGGATAAGCTTTACAACTTGTGAGGCTGCTTCTACATAAAGATAACGTAGTCATATCACCTTAAGTTTGTTTCTTTTTTTTTTTTTCTTAAAGTGATGCAGGTGATATGTAAGAAATACAGGTATGGAAGCAATAACACACATTTTATGTCGTCTGGGTACTCCACTACCCATGTTGCTGGGGACAGAAAGGAGAAGCAGTAGATGAAAGCATTAAATAATCCAAAACTTGACTCCACATACCAGCTATTTCTCTATTCCTTCCGGAACTTTTCTAGAAGGACAGCTATTGAAAGATAAATTTGATCAATTAGAGCTTTTCCAAAGATAGGCAATGAGAGAGAAGCACTACCTTATAGTTAAAAGTTTGCCATTACTTGGCCAAAGAGTGTGAGG